TTTGTTAAAGTACTGGTAGTCCTTTCAGGGTGTTCTGCCTTCATAACAGAATATGCACTTGAGGCATCTAAGTACTATTTCATTGGATTCCATGCCCCAAAGCATCTAAGTGAAGGCATGCAAAATATTTTTCTCCTTAATAGCTTAAAAACTTGGACACTTGATTCTGTTTGACTGGGTTTGAATCCTGGGTCTGCTTTACTAACACCATGACTTTGGGCAAGCTTTATAACATTGCAAGTGTCTTATTTCTCATCTGAATAACAGGGCCTTATAATTTAACTTTGAAGATGAAGGATTAAATGAGATCATAAATATAAATCCCTTTCAACAAGTTATTGTGATTATGTAGCGAAGTGTTGTATATTGTAGGTGATAAGTAACTATTTTTGATATGTCAAGCTTCCATATACCTGGGGCATGATTAGTGAGATAAATTATTAATGCCTATTAGATTGATAATAGCATAGGAAAGAATTATGCACTGACACCAACAACCTCATCTACATCTTTCCAATACTTTATATCCCTTTCTTCTTTTGCCTTAAACTTGAGCATTCCCAAATTTTACTTTCTATTCCCATTCGAATTCCATATTTCTTTGGCTTATCGGTGCCATTAGAGTACTGAGGAAAGGGTGTAATGAGGTAATCCTTAACACTGCACAGGCCTGTCCTGAGAGACACGCTAATGTATCAGTATACTAAAAATGTTTGAAATACTAATTTTTCTGCTAATGAGCCTAAACATTTTACCATAGTTATACCTTAATACCAAGTTGCAGGTCATTACCTCCACATATTGAAAAGCAGCTGATGTTTTAGGGCTTAATGTTCCTGCCATTTGCTTGATGAACCCTCTTTCCTGCCCATTTTACATAGTAGAATTTCCAGTTGTAAAATTAATACTTGACAGGTATTGTGCATGATGTTTCGATTTCATTATATATTTATTTATTTAAAATGTTTTTCTGGTGATCATAATTAGTATATACCAACTCCATTGCATTTGAAATTTAAAAAATGCTAAGAGGAACAAATAAAAATGATTTATCCTACCCCCTAAAGATAATCATTTCTGATTTAGTTCCCACCACAATGATTTTCAACATATGCTTATGTGTGTACCAGAAAGTATAAACAATTGTGTTTGCTGCTTTCTTCATTCACAGTTTCCCTTGCATTAACAATTTTTGGAAATGCCATTAAAATAGTTAAAATAATAATGTGTTTTTTAAATTTTTTAATTATATTTTTTATTGATTTCAGAGAGGAAGGGAGAGGGAAAGAGAGATAGAAACATTGAATCATTGATCACCTGCCTCCTGAATGCCCCACACTAGAGATCCAGCTCACAACCTGGGCATGTGCCCTGACTGGGAATCAAACCGTGACCTTCTGGTACATAGATGGATGCTCAACCACCGAGCCATGCTGGCCAGACTAAATAATAGTTTTGTTATGTAATGTCACATTTTTAAATATGTATATATTTATGCATGCATGTCTATTTATCTATTTTGGCATCCATTGAAAATCATTTTCTTACATTTCTATTGCTTCAGCCTATAAATAATATTGTGAGAACCATCTTCTTGACATGTATTGATCTGAATTATTGACTTACTTAAATGTATCCTAATGGGGAAATATATTCAACATATGTAAGCATTTGTAATATTTTATGGTATATTTTTCTAGAAATAGAATAGGATATTATTGTTAAAATCACAGACTCTGAAGTCAGCCAGACCAATGCTTGAATTCTCTCCCCAATTCATTCTCTCTGGGTAATTTTTAGGAAAGTTGCTTGACCTCTTTAAACCTCATTTTTCTCATCTGCAAAATGGGATTATTGTGCCTAATAAAATATATCTAAAAGACATTTTATTTGAAGTCTATCTTCCTTTAGGTTTTGCACATAGCTATAGCTAGCCATTGTTTTTCTTGCCTAAACGAGTTTTAGATAAATAATTTATTTTCGTCAGGAGTCCCTTTCCTACATCTCTCCTCTCCCCCAAACTCCCACTATGCTGTTCAGATGAGCAATATTCTAGTATCTTCTAGTGCCCTTTGGAAGGAGATTTATTAGCAGAAGGGCTGCCATTTTGCATGAGAGAAGAGAGACAATGGGTCTCGAGGATATGCCAAGTTTTTGGTTCTGTATTCTCTGTATTGTCTGGCTCTTGATTTCTTTCTAAGTGATTCAGAACTATCATGGTTAGAACTAATATTTTCTCCAAGAATGTTAAGGAAGGACGTGGACTAAAGTAAAACTAGGTAAGCTCCATTGAGGCATTCATCACCTATTGCTTTTACCAATATTTTTTGAGGTCTACACGCCCCTAGGCACTACCTCTGCCTCATTAGCTAACTGGAAATGCAGCTTAGTTGTTCCTCCACTACTACATATCTGTTAGTTATCAAATATGAACACAAACTTATTTCTATCACTTAATAAGTTATTATATTTATTTTACCTACTGTATACTTTGCCATGGTTCCTAGATTCCTTGGGAAATGGAAAATCTGGCTAAATTGTGTTATTCAAAATGGTCTAAAATAATATCTATTATTTTATTTTATTTTATTTTTAAATATATTTTACAGAGAGGAAGAGAGAGAGATAGAGAGTTAGAAACATCGATGAAAGAGAATCATCAATCAGCTGCCTCTTGCACATCCCTTACTGGGGATGTGCCTGCAACCAAGGTACATGCCCTTGATCGGAATCAAACCTGGGACCTTTCCATTGAGCCTGACCGGTTTTGGCTATTATTTTATTATTAAGCATTTAGCACAGCACTTGATTCATTTAAAACACTTAATATGTAATACTATCAAATACTTTAACATTGGTCATTTGACAACAGTAAAAGTAAAATGTAAAAATGTTAAAAGTATTTAAATACTTATTTTCACAGCAAGAGTGACTGAAATATTTATGTGTATTTTTTTTTCAAATTGTAATAGTCAATGGTATATAGCACACTTTAAGATTACCTTTAGTTTATAGCATCCAGAAAAGATAAGTCAATCAAGTCCAAAACCTGCTTTTTATGTAAACTGTTGCTAAATTAAAAGTATTTGGTTCTGTGAATTGAAACAAAACACTTTTTTCCCTTTCTGAAAGATGTATAAAAGCCCTTATATCTGGAAATATTTTTTTCTAATTTGTAACATTAATATTTCTGATAATCATGAGAACTTTCCTTCTGAAAATTAAATTCACTGATTCTTTACAATTCTTACATTATGTGTTTATGTATTTGAAAACATTCCAAGTTCTCCATGTTCCTTTTAAGTCATAAAAAGATAAAGCATCCCCTTTAATGAAACTGGGGACAAGGTTGTTGTATTGCTTCAACTGTAATTACAATTATAAAATTTTATTTTTATTTATTTTTAATATATTTTATTGATTTTTTTTTTCCTGGAGGAAGGGAGAGGGATAGAGAGTTAGAAACATCGATGAGAAAGAAACATTGATTAGCTGCCTCCTGCACACTCACTGCTGGGGATGTGCCTGCAACCAAGGTAAATGCCCTTGACCGGAATCGAACCTGGGACCCTTGAGTCCACAGCTGATGCTCTATCCACTGAGCCAAACCAGTTAGGGCACAATTATAGAATTTTAAAACTAATGGCATCTATTGTATTTCTGATATGTTTAGGGAAAAGCGGAGTCCACTTGGAATCTATAAGCACATTTCTAAGAAAAAGGATAGAAATCAAGGAGTAAATGAAAAAAAATTATGTGAGCTAATTAAAAAATGATAAAAAGGAGAATTGTACAATAATCAAGTTATTATCTTTAACATTTTAGAATATTTAGGAAGAAAATGAGTATACCTTTTACTTGACATTAAAAATGTAAACCAAAGCTGAAAAAGATACTGTATATTGAATGGCAAGCAGTATACTGACATCATAAACATTATTTATAGGCCTGATGTGGCCAATACTTATATTTGATTGCCGAGTAGAGAGAATTTTGGTGGCAGAATGATGAGAATTAGTATATATTATGCTTGAGAACAGACACCCCTCTTACTTGTCGCTATCCCCTGGTCTCTGACAGGAAGTAAATGCTCAGTAACCATCTGAGAGGCCAGCATGACGAGTGACTAAACCGTGAGCTTGGACCTGGCACATCCATGCTGGTGATTCTACATTTGGAAAACAGCAGTTCCTGTTTCCATAGCACTTGACTGCATTCACCCTTCTTTTTGTTTTTCATCTCCTTTATCCAATTATTTTCACTCTTATTCTGACACATATAACCCAGAAGCCCCAAATGTGCCCAGTAATTTTGTCTAAATGACCACAACAGACACTGTTTCCTTGCCTTTGGTTCCACCTGGTCCTAGTGATTCTACCTTCCATGATTAAAAACTCTTCTTTCGTTGCATTTGTTTTCCTATCTCTGTTTTTCACTCTACTTGAGATATTAAAGTATTAGCACTAATTACAGCATATAAAGTAAGGTGCCCCCTTTTAGTACAATGTTTTCATGTAGATAGTTTTTAGGTGTAGATCACATATATGACACAGGGTATGGCAAAAGTAGGGTTACAGTTGTGAGCACATGAAACAGTTTATTCTTGTGTTATTATTTGTTAATAATTGTATTGTTTTCCATAAAAATAACTATAAATCTACTTTTTAACCTCACCCAACATGATATGTGTATATGTCCATAAACTACATGGGTGTGTGTCTTTTTGTTTTACTACATTTTCTTGTATAATTAAATTAGTCAAAATGAATGATTTCCTAAAGCATAGTATTCCAAAATGTATTATATAACTTTATATAGTACTTAAATTACTATTTTATAGTAACATTATGTTTCCCACATTGATATAATGAATAACTCTTAGTTTAGAGGAATGTATTCTTATGGATTTAATAAAATTATTACACACATCTTTTTTGTGTGTGACTTTCTACACATTGTATATATATGTAAATACATTTCTTTTTTTATATTCTTTAAAGGGTCACATGATAGCATCCTGCGATTCCTGTGGAGTCACAAAACTGTGGGACTTTCGGAAACTCTTACCAATTGTGTCCATTGATGTAGGTCCAAGTCCTGGCAATGAGGTGAACTTTGATTCATCAGGTAGGATTTTGTTGAGTACTTGTGACCAGTCTAACAACTGTTTCCACGTTAGTTTTTTTTTGTGTGTTTTCTCCTACTGTTTTCTCCTTACTGTTATATTAGAATATATTGCATTATATTTCATTACATTTTGTATCATATGTCAGATTATGAAAATGTATTTATCTTATATGTGAAGGAAGGAAAATAGATTAGGTAAGTGTGTGTAAATGTATATAACACAAATTCCTAGCAGCACCATGTAAAACCTTGGAGCCCATATCCCTGAAAGTCACCATCCAAGGTAAGTAAATTGTTTTTTTCTGTAGACAAAGTGGCTGAAAGTAAAGAAGAAAAAAAGGTTGGCAAGATAAAATGGAAACATTTTAATGGAATAATTTAAATTTGCCAAATTACCCCAGATTCTTTAGATTTTACAATTTATTTGTAATATGTGTATATTCATCTTATTGTTGCAATTATATGTTCTGCACAATTATTTGATTGTGTTTATCCTTGCTGATGATAAATAGTATAACAACTGATATGAACACACAATAATTCCAGTTGTCTATTTAAAAGGTTAATATTGCAGTTCTATCTTTATTTTTAATGATAGCCTTTTCTAAATAGAAATGTATATATGGTATTGAATAATATAACTTTTCTTTGCTAGTGTGATACGTGTTTTAAATGTTTTTAAGTTTTTAGAATTTTAAAAATATTTTATAGTGATTGTGATAGACAAAGTTATAGATATAACTATTTTAGACAAAGAAATATATATAATGTTTTATTTAAAAATAGTCTATATTAATGTTATGGTCCAGAAAGTTTGTAGTAATTATAGTGACATATGACAATTGTGGTTTTGTGAGACTGGTTTCATTATATTTCCACCACACAGCTGAGATTTAGAATATAGTAAGTTTGCCATTTTAAAAAACTTTTAAATTGTGTTTCTGTTACAGATTAGTATATGAACCATGCTAATAAGAATGGCTTCTTTAAAAATGTTTTAGACATTAAGACATTTATGGTCCATTCAAATTCAAAAATTTTTTTAAAATACTATACAGAATAATAAAAGATCCCCAACTATGAGAATTTCATTTTATAACGTGACAGCCTCTTGATTTAAATTTATATTTTCAATAGACAAATTTTACCTGACATCATAGTGCTTTAAGGGGTTTTAATTTGGTTTTTACAAACATTTCACATCCTTAACTCCCTTTGTATTATTTGAGCTAGCATCTAAGTATTTATGTCCTTGAATTTTGAACCCTGGAATTTCAAAACTTTTAGTTATAGTAATTTATAATAATATAAAGTAAAGGTGTTTGGAAATGCTATGCAATCAATAATAGATATATTTTTTACTTTCATTATTAAAAATGCCTTCACTTGCTTTTTACTGTCTTTGTAATACAGCCTGAAATTTCTTTCCTTTACTTAGTCAGGTAAACCTGATTTAAAATAAATATAATACCAATCTTATTATATAATACAATAATATCATCTTAAAGTCTTTAGAAAAACAAACCTATTTTTCTCTCCATGACTGTTATATTCTTGGTAATTCACTAATATTAAAGTATGAAGATCAGGGGCAGAACAATAAGAAACGTCAAAGTTAAAGAGTTTAAACCAGGGACCCTATTAATGAGACCACTTCATCAGTTTGAGGACATACATTTCTCTTTTAAATTAGGTTTTTTGGGGTAACACTGGTTAATAACATTATGTAGGTTTCAAGTGCACAAATCTATGACACATGATGTGTGTTGCATTGTGTTCCCACCACGCAAAGTAAAATCATCTTTCATCACCACATATTTGGCCCTGTTAACCCTTTGCTACCCCTCCACCCCTTTCCCTCTGTTGTCTGTGTCTTTGAATTTCAGTTTTATATTCCACATGAGTGAAATCATATGGTTATTAGCTTTTTTCTGACTGACTTACTTCACTTAACGTAGTATTGTCAAGATCCATCCATGTTATCACAAATGGCAGGATTTCATCTTTTCTTATGGCTGAGGAGTATTCCATTGTGCATATGTATCACATCTTTTCTATCCAGTCATCTCGCATCATTATTTTCTATATCTCTCTCTTCCTCTCCTTCCTCTCTGAAATCAATAAAAATATATATTAAAAAAGAATAACCAGTAAAAAAATAAAATAAAAAAATAAAAAGGAACTTGTATGCATGCATATAAGCCTAACCAATGGACACAGACAACAAGGGGGTGAGGCATGAGTGGAGGGATAGGGGATAATGAAGGAAAAAGGACACATATGAACACCTTAATCAATAAAGAGATAAAAAATAAATAAAAGAGGGAAAAAGGATCTACTTCCATATACAATGACTTTACAAATAAAGAATTACTTTGTAAAGTCATTGTATATGGAAGTAGATCCTTTTTCCCCCCTTTTATTTATTCAACATTCAACACAGTATAGAAATAAATTGGGGTAGAGATCATTAAAGGGCTGAAACTGTTATCCATAACATTTGACTTCAAATTTTTATGTATATCAAAATTGACATGATTTTTTAAGCACATAAGTAATTTTTTTTCAGTTTGAATTTATAAAAGTAAATATGTACTAATAAAAATACTACTTTATCTTTTAAATTTGTTATTTCCATAGTGTATCATCTTTAAAATGAATCTTTGGTAAAAATATTTGAAAACCAGTGATATAGTAAAAGAATATATATCGCAATTCCAAGCCTTAGGTCCTCAGCATCTATTAGACCATAAGCAAATTATTTAATCTCTCTGAACTAATATTCTCTATGGAGGAGATAATTTTTAGAGTGTTCTGATGTTTAAAGGGATAATGCATATTCTATAATGTGAAAATCCTAGTACAATCACCTTACATGTTATTTCTAGCTAGGAAGGGATCATAGGAAGTCATTCCAATCATTTCATGGATGAGAAAAATGTGTGTATATTTTGTTGTACAAATAAGATGTCTAAGGTTGTGTGATAGTGTAGGAAGTTTATAATGAAATTATAAAACACTAGCCAAAACCAGTTTGACTCATTGGATAGAGCATTGGTCTGCGGACTGAGGGGTCCCAGGTTCGATTCTGGTCAAGGGCATGTACATTGGCAGCTGGTCGATGTTTCTGTCTCATCGATGTTTCTAGCTCTCTATCCCTCTCCCTTCCGCTCTGTAAAAAGAAATCAATAAAATATATTTTTTAAAAAGGAAATTATAAAACACTAATGACTAGATATTAGAACAAGGGTCAAACTTCATTTTCATGTAATAGTAAAAATAATTTAAATGGTTAACTAAGAGGTAAGGTTGCATATAACAGCACATATGCAATATATTAAAATCAAAAGGTTTACAGACGTATGAATCACTGTCTAGAGTTTAGCTTTTCTGTTAGTGTAAAAAATCTGCTTCTCACACATTCAGAAGCGGAGTTGCATATGGCATAGCATTATTTACATAATGTTATATTTGCAAATACATTGCTTGTGACAAACAGATTATCAGTGTTTACAGATATATACATATATTAGTCCATATTTATAACTCGTATATTTGTAAAAGGGTAAGTGTTCTTTTCTCATTAAGCAGAGAGCCTCCTGGTAATAGAATGCTACACATTTCTGCAAATACTCACTATCTAAACAATATCTCTCACTTGGCATACTCAACTGCCATATGTTTTATCATTCAGCAATTTATTACAAATTCAGAAAATGTTAAATGGGATTGTGTGAAGTAATAAAAATGAACTGTGAGAATTTATACTTACACTTCTCCATTTCTCACTGCCTCATGTTTATGTAGTTTAGCAACACATGCATTTGTCTCCTCTGTCAAAGATAATCTCGGCACGTTTGCAAAGTCACATCCCTAGACAACTCAGGAGCTAAAGTTTGAGCCAGATGAGGACTTTCAGTGGAAGGCTTTTTAACATCAGATCATCAAAAGGGGCGGGGTTTCCTACTACTTGAGAGAAACCCAAATATTCTCCACAAGCAAAACCACAATAAAAATGGTAAAATGAGGGAGGGGTGGCCCCATTGGAAAATACGAAAAGTATGTGACTCCCTCCATAATTTTTCAAAATATAGTAACATCCTCTCCAAATTGCTGGTTCAAAATGAATGTATCATTTTCTGTTTTGTTAGTAAAGACTACTTATTGTTCATCCTTGTGTGTTTAAAAGGCAGACGGTAAATTCCTCCTGATGGGCACAGTACTGCTTCATGGGGAAAGCACTCATTTGGGAATTAGAGAAGCCCTGGTTTTGAATTTTGTCTCCAATACTTATTAGCTGAATGGACTTGGTGAGATTTCTAAATATCTCTGAGCCTCAGTTTCTTGAATGTGGAATAAGCAAAACCTATTAGAATTTTCACTTCCAAGATAAAATAACAGGGACCAGATTCACCCATTACTTGAAACAACTAAAAAGGAAAAACAGATAAAATATATACTTTTTTTTCCAGACATAATGGGCAACGAAAAACAGTGGTACCTGAGAGAGGGGAGTCAGTGAGAGGAGCCCTGGGACAGCCCCAGAATACTTACTGCCTGGAGAGTTTCTATGTCACAGCTCAAGATGAATGAAACCACAGGGACACCCTGCAGTCTCTCTGAGTTGAGGAGACTGAGGGGGTAGAGGATAGAATAGAAGAGAGCAGCAGAAGAGAGAGAGAGAGAGAGAGAGAGAGAGAGAGAGAGAGAGAGAGAGAGAGAAGAAGAAGAAGAAGAAGAAGAAGAAGAAGAAGAAGAAGAAGAAGAAGAAGAAGAAGAGGAGGAGGAGGAGGAGGAGGAGGAGGAGGAGGAGGAGGAGGAGGAGGAGGAGGAGGGAGGGAGGGAGGGAGAGGGGGGGAGGGAAGGTGAGTGAGAGTGGAGAGTGCCAGCACCAGCGCTCTCTGGAAATTTGCAGGTCTGCTCCAGTCTTGAGCTGAATAGATATCCACTAAGATAAGGCCAGAGAAAATTCTGACTGGAATTAAAAGGAAGCTTCTCCA